ATATAAGACTATCCTTGATGAGCCTGTGACAGGGGCTCTGCTCCAGGACCTGAAGTGTCAAGTGGAGCCGCCACTGTATTCATTTATGTAGAATTCCAGTTAGAGGAGGAGCTGGATTTCTAAATGGATAACTGTGCGGCAGAGAGCTTTGCCAGCTTGTGACACGGTGCACTCTAGTCATGGGAACAATTCATCCATCTTTGTTGCACTGAACAAAATATATCCCTGGGCCCTTAAGGTGCGCAGTTCTGCAGTCCTGCTGGATTTGGAGTTCAGAGAAAATAGAGATTAGCATGGAATGAGGGAACTGTCTGGCAAGGCTTCAAGTGAGCCAGCATTTATTAAGTACCTGCTACATGCAAGGCACTGGAAATGGAAATACCAAAAAATGAATGTTCCTGCCCTCAGAGAGATGGCGTTCTATTACACTTGTGCTGAACTCCAGAGAATGGATTGAACAGTTCAGAGCGAGCAGTGAGGAGGGCATTTGCGGTCTGGGCAGTAGCACCCACCCAAAGAGCAAACCCAGCCATGAAGGGATGGGGTGGGGGGGCAGGGGAAGGGACAGTGGTGCTTGCTACTGAAGTGGCTCATGTGGTGCTAGGGAGCAGGAGAGGCCTGGCGACAGAGAACTTTGAAGAGGGGCAGAATGCATGGGATTAGATGTTATGTGTCTTTTGATCTCATTCCCCTCCTAGATGCTAAGCTCCCTGGGAAGGGGAAGGGCAGAGAAGGGCACAGTGCCTGCTCCGTGTCTTCCCCCACCCCCACCCAAAGAGGGCTGTTCTTCATAAAAATGAATAATAAGGAAAAAGAAAAAACGGTTCAACAAGGCTAAGCAGCGTATCCCATGATGACCTTATCTGCAGTACTCCACACCCATAGCCCCTCACTTCTGCAAAGAAGGGAGGAAAGTGCTGCCTTTCATCTCTTCTTTGAAGCCAAATTTGCCCATTATAACTTTATAGCATTCAGTTTCAGTTGTTTTCAAATCTCAGTTTATAGAAAATTAACTTTGCTATAGAAAGCAAGCTAATACTATAAAAGTTTATTGAATGAATAAAGTAATGAATTCATTTTGGAAAAGTCAAGGCCGAAAAGTTTTGAATTGCTTGAAAAGGCAATCTAGGGATTCCTTGTGGATTTTCTGAGCAGGGGCGTGGTCTGGCAATGGGAGGCTGATTTCAGGAAACTGGCTGTGGCAGGAACGTAGCAGCAAGGGATGCTGGGTAAGGACCAGGATTAAAGGGAGTGGTAGAGATGTCTCTGAGACCTGTGGGCATCGAGACTGGGGGGGGGGGAGCTAAGAAAAGCCTTCCCTTGTCATTTGTAATCAACAAGAAAAAAAAATGATAAAACAGGTTTTTAAAAGAAAATGTTACACTTTTCCCCCCCATGGAAACCAGGCTTGTTCTGTTATTTTCTTAACGTTTAAATTTACATGATGAAATCAAACTATGAAAAGTAATCCATTAATATTAGTTTGTGTTTAGAATGTAAAGACTTGTAAAGTTATAAAAACTAGGCTCAGGAAATACAAAATTATAGCTGTTGTAAATTGAAGAGACGTATAATATCAAAGAAAAAGGGAATTTTAAACTGACACTCATCTTTTGAAATAAATAATTTCAAAGAATTGATGTGCTTTCTTCTAAATTACTTGAGAGTAATAATCTCCTGTTATTTATAACCACATCTGGTGTGCCCCTGACCTTCCAGTATTGGGGGAGTGGGACAGGGCAGAGCCAGGGGGAGGGGCATGCCAGCTAACAGGGATGCAGCAGACCCAAAAGCAGATGCCATCTTAGGCCACATCACTACCAGTTCTCCCGTGTCGTGACTGTGAGAAGTTGGCTGGCTGGGCCCTGTGTTGGTCATACCTTGTCCGGTGTGTTGCATTCAGCTCTGGCAGCTGAGTCCCCCCGCTCTTAGCAGCAGGGGACGAGGCTCTGTAAGGGCCTGCCCCAGGAAGAAAAGGTGGAAGATCTGGGAATGCTGAACTGGAGGGAAGGAGAACATTGGAGCTGTTTCTCTTCAAATGCTGGAAGAGCTGTGAGGCAGAAGGAGAGATCTATAAACCAAGAAGATGAAAGGAAAACGGATTTCGGTGCAACCTCAGAAAGTCTTTGTTTCAGCTGGGGCTGCCCACCTGGGGAGCCAGCAGGCTCCTTTGGAAGATGATGGGCTTGTCCTCACTGGCTGGAGGAAGGTCCACCCCCAGGTGTACTCGCTGTTACCGTCTGCAGAGGAAGGGCTGTGAGAGAGGAGAGGGGAGAAAGAGGCCGTTGGTGAGCAATGTGCCAGAAAGAATTCTTTCCCACGATGGGAGGTGGGATGAGAGGGTCTTTAGGTCCCCTCCCGCTTGACTAGGCTGTGGTGACCATGCTGTGGTGATGATGATGATGATGATGATGATGATGATGACGACCACGATGTCAGGAGAATGTGAGGAAGGCCTGCAGTGCATGCTGGGGTGGGAGGAGAGGGGCAAGGACGGGAGGGGCAGGTCTGGATACATTGTCAGAAGGAACACCCAAGTCAGTGAGATCATGAAGCATTTGGGAAGCGATGTTGGTGCCTGGCCAGCTTCCCTGGCTGCTGCTGGTTTGCAGCCAGGGTGGGCTCTGTGCAAGAGAGCTGCCTGACATAGCCTTGACCCTGGCCGTGCTCAGGCTCCGGGCTGATCACTCCTTCCTCTCCTGCCCGTCCGCGTCCCTCACACGCCAGCTGACCTTGCAGAAGGCCGTGGAAGTTTTCTGCTGGCAAGCAACAGTTTTACAAACACCAGGTTGCAGAGATCTCCCTCCCACACGCTAACCCTTGAGCATCACTACCATCAGAGAGCTGCCAGTTTACATTATGTAAACATATGGAATAAAATATTTACTTAGGGCTTCCATAAAAAGTGCCAAAGTGGGGGAAGTGCTGACCACTGGTTAAGGGCCTCTGCTGGGAATCCTAAGGGAAACTGAAGGCTCTTCCATGTGTTTTGATTGGCCCTCTGCGTGTTTTCCCTCCTGTAATGAGATCTTTGTCAGTTTGTCAATTTTGACTAAGGACAGAAAGTTCATGTGTAGTAAGTTAAGTGCACAGTGACTGCTCAGCTGGGTGGATGTGATGTAATGACCCCCTTTCCTCTCCCTTAGTCAATATTGATCTTTTAGGTCAATAAATTAAAATAGTGACTTCAAAGGAAGCCATTATATTTTATCTTCTCAGTGCTGGCTTTAGATACTTGTAATATCCAAGTGGAAGCTGAACTTCCCAAGGCTGGCTGCTTTGGTGGCTGGGGTCAGATTCACCAGCTTGGTGACGCCACAAGCCAGCTGGGCCCGCTGACCTTGATGCCTAGGTGAATGGTGGCGGGCCGAGGAGCTGCCCCCGAGTCCTTTCTGGAGAAGGGTCCCAGACAGGAGTTCAGCTGGGACAGAACATTGCCTTTGTCTTATGCAGAAGCCTGTTCTTTGTAGCCTCAGAAAGACTTGAGAGAAATGAATGTCTTTGTAGGAGTGTGGTTGCAGGGTTAGACTTTGGGGTAAAGAGGATAAAGTCTGTATTTGAATCCTTGGCCTGTCAGACTCCTGAGCCGCTTGCTCAGGTGGCAGCAGCGTGTTTTGTTCCTCCTAGTTATCAAAGTTGGCATAAGACCAGCCACTCTGGGGAGAGGATCAGGAGACGAAGCAGGTATCGTGGTAGAATCCACTCGTCCTGGGGTAGCTAGATGGCTGCCTAGGGAGCCTGCTGTGTGCACACAGGTGATCCTGCACACTGAAGGCTGTGCGTCGGGAGGTGTTAAGATCTGGCGGGGCTCTCCATCTGGGAAGTCTGGGAGCGCACCTCGAGGCTCAGCCCAGCCCGCCTACAGGATGGTGGGCTCCTCGTCGGGTGGCTGGAGGGGGGCTGGGTTTTTCCACAGCAGCAGATCCCTAGCTCCCTCCTTAGGCTCCACTTAGCATCTACTGACTCATAGAGGCACTGTGATGAGCACCAGTGGGACAAGGACCTGCCTGCCAGAGGCAGATTGCCATGTGCGTTGCTATGCAGTGGGGTTTTTTTTTGGGGGGGGGGTTACCTGTAGCCGACAGGAGGATGCATGTGAAGACTGACTCCCGAGTCCTTAGGCCTCAGAGGGCCCTTTCATAACCTGCTCTGTTGATGGATCCAGCTCATGCTTGTCGAATGCCCCCGCTGGCACATTAACACCAGGGCTCCAGATGCCAGGACAGACTGCCTTATTTAGTAAGCTGGTCTTGAGGAAGACGAGGCCTGTCCTAATTCATTGTCATCAAAGACAATAGACAGGATGTGGCAAGTGCCTCAGGACAAGGACAAAGAAAGTACTATAAGAGTCCAGAGGAGAGACAGGTTGCCCCTGGATGGCGGTCATGAACGAAGGCTTCACGATGGACAGCGCTGGATCCATCAACAGCCGCCTTTATTAGGTCCCTAGTAATCGTAGGTGCTGCTAATGGTCCCTGAGAATACCTGATCCCATCTTATTCTGGAGAGTGGGGGGATCAGAGGGTGCTTCGGGACAATGAGTCTGCCCTTGTAGAACAGGCTAGAGGGAACCAGCAGGGAAGCTGTCCTGGGGTGTGTGAGAAGTCACAAGAGCCTGGTGGGAAAGGAGAGGCCATGAAAGGGAGTGAGAGCCTCACCATGGAAATGGGAAGCGGGATTCCTGCAAGAGACTTGGCCAAGCCAGGATTTCTCGATCCAAGGTAACTGCCAGGGGCCTAGGAGTCATTCACTCTACTCTAGGTGGTAGAAAAGAAATGAAGCCGTTTGGTCTTCAGTCCTGGGAAAGGGCTCCTTGTCCTCCGCTGTGGGCACTGCCACGGAGCTGGTTCCCTCTGGTTCGTCACCAAGCCCGGACACTTGGGCCTTTTCCTGCCAAGGAGGTGACCTGGCTGCAGGGAGCCTCAAATGCCTGGGGCTGTTAGAGGAGCTCAGTGGGAGGGCTCTGTCCCTGCCCTTCTAATCATCTTGTGCCTTTGCAGGGAACTTTGAAGTGGGCGTTCACATCGCAGATGTCAGTTACTTTGTCCGGGAAGGATCGGCTCTGGATGCAGTGGCCAGTGAGAGGGCCACAAGTGTCTACCTGGTGCAGAAGGTAAGAGGCAGCCTCCGTCTGCTTGGTATGGAGGGTGCTTTCTTGTTGACCTCATCCTCTTCCCCCTTCACTTGATGCTGTGTTTGGGAGCGCCTTATTGTTCAGTTGTTTCAGTCCTGTCTTACTTCCCATGACTGCATTTGGGGTTTTCTTGGCAGAGATATTGGAGTGGTTTGCCATTTCCTTCTCCAGCTCGTTTGACAGATGAAGACACTGAGGCAAACAGGGTTAAGTGACTTGCCCATGGTCACCCAGCTAGGAAATGTCTGAGGCTGGATTTGAACTCAGGAAAATGAATGTTTCGGACTCCAGGTCTGGCGCTCTGTGCACTGTGGCGCCACCTGGGAGCAGTACCTGTGGCATAAGGAGAATGCCCTCCAGGGACCCACTTGACCTTTGGCTTTGCAGTGTTTGCTTTCTTCTGGCTGGCTGCATCACCCGTGGCCATTTGTCCGAAAGGGAGCCTTACTGGAGCTGTCAAGGGAAAAGCAGATGTGGCTTTCCAAGCATTTTTGACCCCGTGTGGTGGCACGTCTGCCTTGGAGATCAGAGGTTCTTGGCTTCTGAGATTGAGAGTAGGAGGGAAGTCGGAAGTCCAGCTGGTCCCTTGGCAGAGAAGAAGTTGAGGCCCCAGGGGGTCATGCACATGAGAGGTAGTAGAACCGGGCTTCCGATGCAGGTTCTCCAGCTCCATGTGACCATCCTCATCCTGGTGGCTCCAGAAACATCTCGCAGACTGAAGGGTGGACGCGTCCTTCCCCTGCCTCCTGTGTCCAAGGGAACCAGTCCACTAGGCCAGGAGCCAGGCGTTAGCCGGATCTCCTGCTACCTCTCTGGGTCCCCTTGCACGTGGGCAGTTCCAGGGGGTGCGGCATGTTGGACTTGCTCACATCTTGCCCTGGGCATCTCGTCAGCCTCCTTCTCTGGCCTCTTCCATTTTCCTCTTCTGTAAAATGAGGGGGTTGAACTAGTTAGTTGCTCCCAAAGGTCCCTTCCAGTTCTAACATTCACTAATTCTAGGAGAGAGGGATCATTGTCCCCCTATCCGGCCCCAGATAACTTGAACTAAGTGTGGCTGTCCTTTGCAGAAATCAGTATTTCTGGGACTTTTTTTTTTACAGTTAGAGAAACTTTGGGGACAGTTGTCTGATTGTCTTCTTTCTGCTTGAATACTAAAAGATAATTACGGGGGGGGCGGCCTGGTAGGTGGTACGGTGGATTGAGCTCGGGCCCTGGATTCAGGAGGATCTGAGTTCAAATCCAGCCTCAGACACTTGACACTTACTAGCTGTGTGACTCTGGGCAAGTCACTTAACCGTAACTGCCTCACCAGAAAGCAAAACAAACAAAAAAAGATAATTACAAAGCTATTGTTATAATGTTAGAATGGCTTTGTCTTTTCCTCCTGGCTTCTCTTTTTTCATTCTGTAGTAAGATGGGCAAATGTGAGATTCACCCCTGGAGAAGAGGGGCTCTTTCCTTAGAAGTGGGGACCTGAAACTAGCACAGAAGTCCCCCCCACTTCCTCCCAGGGCCTCAGCGTCCTCCTGGATGTACATCAGCCAGCCTGGCAGTTCCCCCAGGGTCTGGTGCCCAGCTCTGGATAGCAAGAACATGGGCATCTGGGTAACCTCAGACCACTGCTTTGACCTTTATTCCTCTTTCTTTCTCTTGTTTCTTGGAAGACTGTGTCTTTTCTGCTGTTTTTTTTTTAAATTTTTTTTTTAACTGTGCCTGTGAAGATCTGCTTCAGAAGCTGGGCAGATGGCTTCTCCACTCCAGGAAAAGCTTGTGTGCTTTCTCATGTGGCATGTGAGCGAGCCTCTCCCCACCCGGAGTCTCGTGTGCCCAGGGACCCTGTCGATGTCTGTGAGGGAGAGGGTCTTCTTCTGCGGTATACGTGTGATGATTTCTCTCCTCCTATCTGTCACCCCGGTTCAGTCTCCCTCAGGCACCAGAACTTGGCTGCTGACGCCTGAGGACAGAGGTAGTGACAGTGACAATGTCAACTTCATGCCTTAGCACAAGGGAGATGATCCCACCGATGAGGACGTTTTTACAGTGAACAGGATCTTGGATCTGAAATCCTTCTTACTGACATTTAAATGAGGTCCCTTTGTGAAAATTTTGCCCCTGGTGAGAAATATGTATTATTCCTTCTGGTTCAAAGGACAGACTGGGTGGGGGCAGAGGAGGAGAATTAGAACAAGATGGCCGTGGAAGTCTAGAAAATGCTTCCCTTTGGATCGGGTGTGGGGCAGGAGAGAGGTTTAGAAACCCGGGGGGGATTTTCTGTCTTCAGTCCCAGCTTAGAGCTCTGTGACCCTTCCTAAGAAGGCAATTAAGTGTTCCTGTGGAACTTCTCTGGACTATCTTCCATGAGCTGGGAGGGAGGGTACCCTGTGATTGCAAATGTTTTTCTAAGTCAGTTTTAAAAATGAGTGTATGAAGTTTAAAAAGCGAGAGCAAGCCTAAACAGCTGAAACCTGACCGTAAACTTTCTGTCTTTTGGCTCGGGCGCTGGTGTTGTTTTAGGTGTGAAACAGCTCAAGGGAAAGGTCGGCCATAAATCTCTACAGTATTTTATTGGTGTTGCTTTATAATGGAGATCAAAGATTGAGACTAGAAGCTAGTCTGAATGTCGAGTCCAAAGAGTTTTAAGATGGTCACTCTGTCAGCAGCAAGCAGTCAGGGGTGTTGGTGTTTTGTTAATGTCAAGCTGGGTAACAGAGTTGATCAAAATTTGAATTCGTGGAAGTGTTGATATGAAAAAGAAAACTCTTAAAACAGAAATGTGGGCTAGAAAATGAATTGACCATTTCCTCTCAATGTCATTTAATATGTGAGTGGTAAACTACTTCATTTTACCCTATTGTTCACCCTCTGGAGTCCTCCACCCTGAGAAAAAGGGGGGAAAACTCAGCCAAGCTCTCCGGCTAAAAGTCTCATCTCTCCCTGGTTGCGTAGATAAGGTAGAGGAAGCAGCCAAGGCCCAGCACCCAGAGCCTTTGATTGGTCTGAAATCTGTGGGCAGCCTGAAGGCACTATGGGGGTCTGGTGCTCCTTTTTGTCCCTGTTTACATGATTGACTCTTCTCCTGTATGGCCCTTCGCCTGCTGCTGAACTTGGCCAGCCCGTTGACTGTGGCTTTAGCACATGTTTCTGAGTTTGGGGTTTTGGGGGGAGAGGGGAAGGGTTGAGGCTAATCTAAGACTTTATAGTTCTGTTGGCAGCCCCAGCAGCTGCCCTGAGAAGTATTTTATTTGCCTGAGTGATTGACCTTATTCCAGTCTCCTCAAATGGCCTTAATCCCAAGAGCTTAGAGAGTTAGTGCCTGTCATTTCTCAAGCACATCTTCCCCTTCCTGGGAGCAGCTGTCAGACACCTGGTCTGGTCCCATTTCTCTCCCAGCCCTATAAAGAAGAAGTTATGCATAGAGCCTCCTTTACTGCCTTCTTCCCTCTCCACTAAGCAGGCGTATCAGGAAACCTCTTGACTGCACTTCCAAGGAAACCACCAAGCCTGGAAAGGGCCGTTTTTGAGGCTGGTTGTCAGTCACTGTTTGGGTTTCTGCTACAAGACACTGTGGCCGTTGCAGGCCAGGGGAGGGAAGAGAGGGCTGTCCCTCCTCCCTCGCGGCACCTGAAAAGAAGGTGTGAGGAAGGTCAGGAGGGAGACCCAGAGAGCTGAGGCGGGGGAGTGCGGCTCTCACCCCAGCGGCGGGTCCTGCTGCTCGCGTTCTCTGAGTTGGTGGACGTTGATCAGTTTGGACCTCCGAGGAGCCCGTGTACCAGTATGGGGGAAGCAGAACTTTTCATTCTGTTCTCTGCCTTGGATGTTCCAGTGTCAGAGAAAGGCCGTAAGTCTGAAATGACGGAGAGAAGCAGAGTTCATCCTTCATCTCACTGTTGTTTGCTTCGCTTTGAATGAAAACTTGGCTGAGTTCACCCGCCTCACTTCAGTGTGCTTTTGTTCATGCTTACTTGTTTAGATGCATCATTTTTATTGTTGTTTGCTCATTTTTCAGTCTTGCCCAACTTTTCATGACCCCATTTGGGTTTTTCTTGCAGAGATACTGGAATGGTTTGACGTTTCCTTCTCCACTCATTTGACAGATAAGGAAACTGAGGCACACAGGGTGAAGGGACTTGCCCAACTCTTAAATATCCGAGGCCAGATTTGAACTCAGGAACGTGAGTCTTCCTGACTCCAGGCCTGGTGCTCCATGCACTGTGGTGCCACCTAGCCACCCTCAGACATGTAATACAGAATGATTGCCAAGCTGTGTAGGGCCACCAAAATTCAGTGACACTACTGAAAAATCTCATTAAATATTAACTACTTAAATATTGTCTTGAGAAAGTGATACCCTCGATGGTGTGAGCATGGATCGGTGACTGGGCCCAGGTTCAAACTCTCTGTTGCTAGGCACTCATGGGACAGCAGTGCGTGCGTGTGCCCACCGAGGCTGGTTTGAGAGCTTGGAGTGAGGTCAAGGAAGAGCTCGCCTTCTCTGTAAGAGGCCAGGAGACCAGCTTCTCTCCTGGACCGGGAGCCAGGCTGTTCCGGGGGATGGACCCCTGTGCTTTCACCTGGCAGGGGAGAGAGGGAGCCCTGCCTGGGGGGTGGGGTGCTGATGGGGAGGGTTCTCTCTCTCTTCCTGCCTGACGGTTCTTCTTGGGGGAGGGCAGAGGAAGAGAGAGAATGAAATCGTTGCTCTAACGCACAGCGATGGAGAAAGCTGGTGAGACTTGGAGCAAAACCATTGCTGAATGGATGGCAAGACTTGTGTGCTTGGCATCAAAACCGACAGATAAAGAAAAGGGCCAGTTTCTCTCAGGCCATCAGGGGAAAAAGATGGGAAGGAATGGGAACTGAGGATGAAAGAGAAAGGCACCGTGTTTGAATGGGCACTGGTTAAGTGCCAGTGGTTTGCTGACAGCTGAGGATGCAGATAGGAAATTGAAGGCAGTGCCTGTCTTCAGGGAGCTTCCTTTCTAGGGGGGTGGACAGGAATAGTGAGTGCAGCTCTGGGGCAGTAGATGGATGCGTCCTTTCTAGGAACAGCGTTGGCTAGAGGCAGGGGAGGGTATGGCTCCAAGATAGAGGAGTAATGCCAAGCGTGACTGGGCTGCCATCAGACAGGGCAGTGACGCCTCCAGCACTGGAATGCTGGCCAGGTGCCATGGCATCAGGAAAGGGAATTATAAATTACACCTAGTCATTTAGATTTTTAAATTTTGACTTGGCGGAAGTCTTTTAAATGGTCTTTGGTAATGCTGTTTGTGGTTGTTTAATAAAGAGTTCTGTTATTGTAAAAATGGAGTGGGAGGCAGTGAGGCTTAATGGGTAGGTCACATGCTGCACTCCTGGTCAGGAAAACGCGGGTTCGGATTTACCTCTGACACTGACCAGGTGTTTAACCCCAGGCAGAGCACTTACTTTCTTCCAGGCTGCACCATGGGGGTATTGACTGTAGCAACTTTGTTGGTGTTGTCATCTGTAAGCTTTGAAGCCCTCTGTGAAAGGCCATGATTAATGTCATTTATAATACCCCAGTAGCCAAACTTACATTATGCATAGGCTCAATGTCCCGGGAAAGACAGAATTATGTGGTCACAGATGTGGAGTGGGCAGGAGTTGGAACAAATCATTGTGCGATGAGTGACTGAGCCGAGATCCAGGCCCTCATTGAACTACTGAGTAACCTTCTTTGCTCTTTCAGCACAGCCTGGTTAGTCTGAGGGCTCTCTGGGCAAACAAGAAGCGCCTCCCCCAGTGATGGCCACGTGGCCCAGGCAGGGAGGCTGGGTGCTCCCCACTGCAAAGAATGCTGGTGACACATGAGCCCCTTGGTGTCTTCTGAGGAGCAGCACCATCTGCGTCACAGGGACAGGGAGGGTATCAAAGCGCAAAGGGTGAGAACACCGTCCACGGGAGGTAGGCATCCTGTGGGCATTCTCAGAATTCTTTTGATCTTGAGCCTCTGAGCTGCAGTTAGCGACCCCAAGTCCTCTTGGGGTAGGTGTCAGAGCAACTTTGTTAACTTGTACTCCCAGGCTTTCTTTGCCTTTGCAGGCTAGGTGGTCCCTCTCACATAATAATAGAGGTGTAATTTATGGAAGGGTGAGCCATTGTCCCTGTGTTTGGGCGGCTTTTGTGTTGGGGAAGTGGCTTATCTAGCTCCTGAGGAATGCTGGACTCCTGCTTTGTCGCAGGGTAAGCCCATAGCTTTCCTCTGCATGTTGCCAGGGCTGACTTTGGGAGCAACGAAGAGGACCGCTCTCCAGAGGGAAAACAGCAACAAGGGTGTGATAGGCTGTGACAGGTCGCAGACAAAGCCAAGGGGGCCTGCAAAGGCTTTCTCAGGTCTGAATCTGGCTTTGGGCTTATTAAATGTACTGTTTTGCGGTTTGATCGCTGTTAGATGCTTCCGAGACAACCAGAAGCACCAGCTGAATCAGCTCCATTTAAAAGACACAGCGGGTGATGGTAACTCCTCATGTAGACACATGTTGAAAAGAAGCCAGTGACGAAGTTGGGGCGGGAGGCCTCTTGTGCCCTGTTAGGAAGGCAGGTGCTGGAGGCCTCCTCAGACCCCTGGACAGCACGCTGGCACCCTTAGGGCCCGGGCAGTGTGAGTTTGATACACCGGGGAGCATTCACTCACCAAACAGGGATTTGGCTCGAGCTCAGCTGGTGATTCGCACGTAGCTCTCACGTTCTTATGGATAGTTCAGGTGCGAGAATGATCAAAAAGACACAACGTACTGACCTTTTTCTTGGGGCGAGAATCTCTTTTTCAGCTTAATGTGAAACATGGTAACTTTGCTTTCTTCTTCAGTTGCCTTCCAAAAAGTAACACGGAAGGGTGAAAAAAGGCCTGGACTCTACCAGGAGAGACCCAGCACCAGATCCTGCCTGGGACTTCACTAGCTGTGTGTCCCTGAAGGGCAAATGACCTTCCGTTGGCCAGCCTTAGTTTCTCCCTAGCAGAAGGGTCCCAGGGCCATTGGGAAGTTCAGATGAGGCCTTGGGGTGAAGGACTCTGCTGGCACTAATAGATTCCAGCTGTTGTCCTAATCCCTGACCCACCCTTGCCTGGGGAGCAATCACCATCTTACTGTTGATACTAGAGCCAGGCACCATCTGGCATCCTTCCCTCCTAGAAGAATGGAAGTGCCTTGAGGGCAGGGACCCACAGTAGGTGCTTCATAAATGCTTGCTGCCTAACTGACCCTTTGGGTACTGGATGGGGAGGATCCGAAAATGACACAGATAGGGGAAGTCGCTTCTCTTCCCTCCCCCCCCTCCGCAAGGTTTCTTCAGTAAGAAGATAGCTAGCTAGAGGGGACCTCTGAGGCCATTTAGTCCAACAGGTAGTGAGCACCAGGGGCAGGATTTGAACCCAGGTCTTCTCACTCTAGAACCAGTGGTCTTTCGACTGTGCCACTTGGCGTCATCCTTGATCTTTTTCTCAGCACCAAAGGTCCTGCGCTGAGCTTGGCTTTCGTTGGCCCTTCTAGCTCATCGTCCTCCCTAAGCATGGAAGTGACCTGTGCTTTTCTGTGTGGACAGGTCATCCCCATGCTCCCCAGACTGCTCTGTGAGGAGCTGTGCAGCCTCAACCCCATGACCGACAAGCTCACCTTCTCCGTCATCTGGACGCTGACCCCGGAAGGCAAGGTAAGGACCTCCCTCCTTCCCAGAGGTGCTCAGCGCTTTGTGGACCCTCCGGCACTCCTTCCTGACCCCTCCTCCCAAACTCCTCCTGAAATTATTTCGTTCCCATTTTTGTGTACTTCACATTTGTTTCTATTTGTAGCTTTGATGAGTTCTGTAGAAAGTACGTCCCTCGAGGGAGGGACTGTCTTTGTATCCCGATGACTCGGCACAATGCCCTGCACCCAGGAGGCATGAGTGGCTTCTGGTCTGGCAGGGAGACAGGACTGACGTGTCTAAATAATCAGAAGATAGCCCAGACACTGCAGCCCGAAGAGCCTGTGCCTTCACGTGGCCTTGCTGGTAGGCTGGCTGCCCTCTGCTGGGGGCACATGCACTACAAGACTTCTGTGTTCTGGCTGGTCACCGTGTGCTAGGAAGGACGTTGTCAAGCTGGAGCGCAACCCCAGGAGCGTGATCAGGAAGACCGAGAATGGGTGAAGGAGCTGGGGATGGTGACAGCTCAGCGGGGTGGGGGAAGGGAAGACACTTGTGTGCAGACGTCAGATTTTCTGGTAAATCTGCCCGTGCCGCGGGATCCTGGCAGAGGCGGGGAGCCAGGTGAGCAGCAGTGTTTGGGAAATGCTTCTGGAGGAAGTGAGACTTGGCTAGACAGAAAGGACTGAGGAACCCACAGGAACAAAGGTGTGGGTGTGGAAACCTTGGGACCTTCAGAGGAAGAGTCAAAATGTTCCTGGACAGGGAGGGGGAGCCATGCTCCCAGAGGACCAGGATGAAGACTGTGGGCCCAGGGCTGTTTTATGACTACATCGGTGGGCGGGGGGTGGATTGGCCACCCCCACTGAGAACATTGGTAATCACGTTACGTCATAGTGTTGGTGATGATCATGTAACTCTTTAAGGTTTGCAAAGTGTCAGTATCTCATTTGGTCCTCATGATAATCCTGGGAGGTAGGTGCTATTATCACCCCCATTACAGATGAAGAAACGGAAGCAAACAGAAGTCAAGTGACTTGCTCAGGGTCATGCAGCTTGTTAGTATCAGGGCCTGGCTTGGCACTCAGGGCTCCCTGACTCCAGGCCCAGCACTCTGTGTGTGCTCTCTGGCACCCTCTAGTGGCTGGTACTGTGCAAACTCTTTGGCAGCACCTGGAGAAATGGTGGAAAGGGGCTGTGTGGAGGGACAGGTACTGAAAAGCATAAATTTAAGTTATGAGACAAATTTCAAGGGAATAATTGGTCAGGCACTGGAAGTTTTATGTTGTTCAACTCATTTTTTCAGTTGTGTTTGCCTCTTTGCAACCCCATTTGGGGTTTTTTTTGGCAGAGATACTGGAGCATACTGCCATTTCCTTCTCCAGCTCATTTTCCAGATGAAGAAACTGAGGCAAACAGGGTGAAGTGACTCGCCCAGGGTCACCCAGCTAGGCCAGATTTGACCTCCTGACTCCAGGCCTAGAGTTTTGTGCACTGCATGAACACCAGATAGCTTCCAGTATTAAAATGATTAAATGTTAACAGTCACTGATACAGGAATCATTCCTGCACCAGCTGTCTCTGTGGTATGACCCACCAACTTGTTAGAGGAAAGATCATAATTAGTACAAAGTAGAAAAGAATGAAAGTGAAAAAAACTATGACATGCAGTCAAAGCCACCCTGCCTTGCTTTATTGACACTGACAGCTGGGAAGTGAATGGAGGTAGGAGCCTCAGGCCAAATTAACCCTAAGAAGTTTAACTGATATAAATCAGTTACTGGGATGGGGAGCCCAGAAGAGCCTAGGAGTGGTGTCAGCCAGCAAACACTTGATCTCTGTGCCAAGTAGGAGCTGTGGAAGCCAAGGACAACATGGGCTCAGGACACCAACTTCTTGTTTGTAAAATCTCACGGAGGAGGTTGGTGGAACGTTCTAAACGGCACTGCTTCACTGAACAGCAAGGAGCAGGCGAGGGAAAACAGCTGGAAGAAATCTTGGCAAGAGATTCTGAAGAAGGGTCATCCTGAGGGCATTGCAGGATGAAACTGGAAGGAGAATAGCAAGCAAGGAAAAAATGGAAAAGATCTGTGAGAATTTCTGTAATCAGCTCGTCCTGGGGGATGGTTGGGCTACGCTGTATGGACTAGCATTCTGGACCTCGCTGCGTAGCCTGAGAGAGTAATGATTCTGAAGAAGACGGAGGAGGTCTTCCAGAGAAGGGGTCTCTGCTGTAGATGACACAGTTTGGAGGGTTGGGGTCAGTTCTTAAGGTATCTGAAGGAGGAGAGGGTACTAAACATTAATCTTGATCTTTATCGTTACTAGAAATATGGCAGAAGGGAGAGTGAGGATTCCTTTTCTGTACCTCCCTTCCTGTGTGACATTTGTGAGAATCATTGACATCCATAGTGAGAGTGTCCTTGGTGAAGGAAGACAAGGAAACAGGCAATTTCTCTATAGCCTGTGGAGACCGTAATCTCCCCCAATTATTATCTACAGTGGACACTGTTTTTACGTTCACTCGGTTGACCGAAAGTCATGGAGAATTCAGGATCCCACTTTATTTATTGTTTGTTGGGTGTTAAAAAGCATTTGATTCAGGAGAACAAAATGCTGCCTTAAAACCTGTCCTCAAGGGGCAGCGAGGTGGCACAGTGGATAGAACACCGGCCCTGGAATCAGGAGGACCTGAGTTCAAATCTGGCCTCAGACATGTAACACTTACTAGCTGTGTGACCCTGGGCAAAGTCACTTAACCCCATTGCCTACCCCAAAAAACGAAAACAAAACAAAAAAACCCTTCTCAAATATGGTGTCCCTCATACACATGTCAAAGTATGAAAAATTTCTCTGCAGTACAATAAAGATGACTTTGTTGGCTCTTTGATGATTAATGCCAAATGAAGTGTGAAACAGGGAGATGTGTTTTTGCCAGAGATGGTTCCCACTCTCCCGGGTTTAGCCAGTGCCAGTCTTGGTGAAAGAGGAATGCCCCCTCTTGGAGATGATTCTCCAGGTGCCTCGTTTGCCTCAGGGCCCATAGCATCTCAGAGGGTTTTTTTTTTTGCGCTATTTTTTAGGCAGTTGGGGTTAAGTGACTTGCCCAGGGTCACACAGCTAGTAAGTGTCAAGTGTTTGGTCTGAGGCCCGGATTTGAACTCAGGTCCTCCTGACTTCAGGGCCGGTGCTCTATCTACTGCGCCACCTAGCTGCCCCCACCTCACAGTTTCTGAATGAGATCCACAGTCACTCCAGGGAGACTAGCCCTGCTTTGCTCAAGTGGGTGAAGAATGTCTGTTGTCCATCAGTACACACATGATGACCTGGGCTCAGAATTGAACAGGGTAAACATAGGCTGCATTTCCTTTGGAAAACTGTGTTAAGAACCTCAGACATCTCCCCAAAACAGAGATCCCTAAGACCAGTATGAACTTGAGGGCATCAGAGAAGCTTGTAGTAAGGGTCAGCAGGTTGTAGCATGTTACAAACAAGGAAGTAAACAGGATAAAAAGGGTGAAGGATGTCATCTGAGAAATGTCTGACTGAAAGAGGAGATGGATCGGTCACTAGTGAAGGTGAGGGATAGCTGCTGGGCTGTTGGCATTCTCCCATAATGCCCAGAGATGTAGAGGAAGGCCCTCGATGCTCTGAGAAGATGGCCAGTGGAGCACTGATGGGAGGGCGTGGCCAGTGGCTGCACAGGACTGGCAACAGGATTGGGCTGGGGTCTGCGTGAGTGGAGGGAGAATCTGCTAAAGTATCTGTGCAGTTGACAAAATTTAGGGTTGAAGGAGAAAGTCAACCAACGATAACGGCTGAATCTCATGGCAATTTTTAAAAAAGCAGAACTGTTTATTAACCATCTCTTCAACAGTATGTTTTCCTGTTTTTCTCTGTTACTGACTATAATATCTTCTCCAAGTTCCTGTCATCTCTCTCTTCGTTTCTCCCTATTGATGAGAATCTAATACAGAATATAACTTCCCCTCAGTGGTTTACTCCCTTGTTAAAAGATGACGTTATCATTAAATCTAGCATTTATTTGCTGCTGCCCTGCTTTCGGTCGAGAGAACTCAAACAGACATCTGGATAAATGAAGTGCCCCATCACAATGCTCCCCAGCCTGCCTCTGGGCCAAGTTTGTGATGTGTTTCCCAGACTCCTCATTTGTTTCTTCTTTCTGATCAGGCAGGATGACTGTACCCAGGCCATGTCAAAATGGTGCCTGCTGCTCCCTCAGTTGAACTTCTTCCAGATATTCCCAGCATGCTTCCTTGCTTGGGATCTTAGATGTACATGAGTTGTGCTACCACACCTCGTGTGTCCGCGCCTATTTTCTGTCCTGTTACTTCCATCCAGACCATGCTCTGGTCGTGGGTTTCATCCCAGTGAACCTCACTGATAACCTGTTAGGTCACCTGTGCGTTCTTGGGTTAGGACTTCTAGTTTGTTTATTGCCTAAACTTTGTGTATTTGTGCATAGATATTTAAGATAGATCATGAGTTTTGCTAATGATTCTTTTTTTGTTGTTGTTGTTTTTCCTCTTGTGAGCTTCTGAATGTTTAAATGGCAGTTCTTTTCAGTTCTCTCTGTGTTATCTAGTTGATGGAGAGATATGGGCAGTTTCCCTCCTCCCTCTTTTAAAAGTTCTTTCGTTTAGATTTGCAGAACTTAAGGCAAATACTTCTCTCCCAGCCTTTGTTAGGTGTACTCCATCCCTGACTAGAAGCCTGTCATTCCTTGTCATTTTAAGCCATGGGCTGGAAATCCCAATTCCATTGTCTGTCTCTGGGTCTCCCCTCTCTTCTCACCCAGAGGCACAGTGGTCACTCATGGCCTGATCACATGACTAATTGGCATAGGAGCCAGGACCATTTCCTGCCTGGGCTTGGCAGCCTGGTGGCTCACTGTGTTAGTGCTAGACTTCGTACAGACGCTCAGACCCCCCAGGCCCGGCTTCCTTGGCAGCAGGGACGACATTCGTGTGCCGTCGCCCTCAGAGAGGTTTTCATTCTCAGATATG